AGAGCCCACGAAAACGCCCGAAAACCTCGAACCTGCCTCGGTGCTGGATGTCTCGACCCCCCCCCTGGCCCTCGCTCGCCGAGGGCGGCCGCGGCCGCCGCGGCCGCCGCCCCCCTCGGCGCCTCCGCGGCGTGCCCGGCCAGCGTGCCCGTGCCCGGCGAGGCCGCGGCCCGCCCCGCCGGCGACGCCGCCCGCGGCGAGCCCCAGCGCGGCGCGGCGCCCGAGGGCGGGTCGGACAGCGCGCCTGGCGAGCGCGGGGCCCGGCGAGGCCGTGGACGCCGCGGCGATCGTGGACGGCGACTCCTCGGCGGGCACCGCGCCGCCCCGCAGCGCCGCGCCGCCCCGCCGCCAGGGGCGCTCCGGGGCCCCGAGCGGAGCCAGGGCGCCCTCGCCGCCCGCCGCCGCGGGCGCGGGGCGGCCGCGGCGCCGCGCCGCCAGGCGGCCACGGGGGCTCCGCGGCCTCGGGGCCGCCGAGGCGCTGACGGCTCGGAGGGCTGCAGCGCAGCGCCCGCCCCGCGCCCCACCCCGCCGGGCGGCGCTCTTCCAGCCGGGCCGACCTGTGAGGCTCCCAGGGCCCGGGACCGGGCGAGGGCGCCCGCGACGGACCGTGTTGCAGCGCCCGGGGCCTCGGGCGAGGCCGGGGCGCCCGCGGCCGCCTGGCGGTCGCCCGGGCGCGGCGCGCCGCCGGGGCGGCGCGCCGCCGAGGCCGCCTCGCGGTGCGCCGCCAGGGCCACGGCCTCCTCCGAGGGCGGTGCTGTGAGACTGAGCATCGCTTGTCGGCCACACTAGTGAGCCAGATGCGAACCCTACCCCTACCCCCCACGATTTCTGAGGAGGAGGTGGGGTTCACTTCGTTCGGGAGCTCCCGAGCGAAGTGAACCCCACCCTCCCCCTCAGAAATCGTGGGGGGTAGGGGTAGGGTTCGCTTCTGGCCCCCTACACACGCGCGCTGTGGCCTCGGGTGCGCGGCTTGAGCGGGCAACAGGGGGGGCACGTCCAAGCACGCGGGCCAGTGCCGGGGGGACCCCTTTCGAGCCCGCACCAAAAAGTTCACTGCGGCGGAAGGTCGCTCTCACGTGTAGCCGGGTTTGACCCATCCCCTGGCACCGCTGGCCGACTTACACTGGAACACGATGGCTCAGGCCAGGAGCTCCAGAGCTGCCGGTCTCTGCAGCCCGTGCGGAGCACCTGTTCTGCCACGGCGCCGTCGATCGCGCGGCGCCGCGCCCGAGGCCTGAGTTGGCTCGCAGGCAGGTCGAGGTACCCAGACATGCGACGTCCTGACTTTCTCCATACGGGGTCCCTGGAAGTCCCGACCCTTTCCCCGGGACCGGCTTTTCATCCTGGGTCGTTTTGTTACGGTCCCGAGGTCCAGCGAGGGCCCCCCGAGACCGAGAATGGTAATAAAAAAAAAAAAAAAAAAAAAAAACGTGTCCTGACTTTTTGTAGTGGAGCGGTCCTGTCTGGGGAGCTGGATCGCAGACAGGGCGAGGCATCGCACGAGGGAGGAGGGGAGCGTGGCCAAGCCGAGGGGCGGCCGCGGCAGAGGGAGGCAGGCGGCGCAGGCGGGCCGTCTCGAGGCCGAGGACGGCGCGGTGCGCGCGGGTCCTCGCGATTCCTCAAGGGGATTTGGGGCAATTGTATTGCAAATGTACTGCGCCAGAGAGTTGTGTTGCATCGTATTGCAACTGAAGCACTGCAATCGAAAATCCAACAATACAACTGTTCACCGGAATGCAAACCCCAAACCTGTTGCAACCCCACGTATCTATTGCTCCACATCTGTTGCAGCACTCCCTTTTTGCTGGACCCCCTTATGGGTCAACCAAAGCGGAGCAGCAGCAGGTCGTGGAGGCACGGCCATTCTTTGTCCCGCAGCAGCATACCTCGACGCTGACGATGTGACGGTGTGGGTACTGGATAACCCTGAGATCCTGGCGCTGCAACGTTTTCACACTGGGCGTGTTCGTCCAATCTCGGGCCCCAGGGCCCTCACAGATCGATCCAGCTCGACAAATAGGGTCCAGGGCTCAGGTCGTGGTTTTTCACTATGTGTTAATGTTTCGCAACGTCGGATCTCAGGGAAGGAACCATTGAATCAGGAATACAGGGTCTGGAAGCCGGTTGAATCCCAGTCGTGGACTAGCCATGGATGTCGTCGCCGCCCTCATCAGACAGAGGATCGTCCAGGGTCTGACGCCTCCTGGACACACTCCTTAACCAACGCTCCCACCGTGGCTCGCCTTCGCATCACGGGCCAAGTGAAAAGAGATCGCGAAGCTAATCCGCACCCCCAACCAAGAGGGCCGAAGCACCCCTCCCTGGGAGAAGGGTTCGACTTCAGAGCGCCAGCACCGTTGTCGTCGTCGCCGTCGTCGTCGTCGTCCCCCCTCAGGGTCGGGGGCACTGGCCGTAAGGCCTTCGCAATCTTCGGAGTTTGGGAGCGCATCATCATCATCATCATCATCATCATCATCACCATCATCATCATCATCATCATCATCATCATCATCATCATCATCGTCATCATCATCATCATCAGCAGCATCATCATCATCAGCAGCAGCATCAGCATCAGCAACATCATCATCATCAACAGCATCATCAGCATCATCATCATCATCAGCATCATCATCATCAGCAGCAGCAGCATCAGCATCAGCAACATCATCATCATCATCAACAGCATCATCAGCATCATCATCATCATCATCATCATCATCATCATCATCATCATCATCATCATCATCATCATCATCATCATCATCATCATCATCATCGTCATAACTTCTTGCTCCTCCGCTCCTCGCACGCGCGGCGCGCCCGCTCGCTGCCGGCGAGCTCGCGCTCCAGGCGCTCGATGGACGCGGCCTGGAGCCTGAGCTCCTCGTGCGCCTGGCCGAGCCGCTCCTGTGGAAGGGAAGACATTCTGGAGGAGGGCCCAGATCTTCGACGGTATGAGCGACGTAAACAATCGACTACACGCAAGAGTGATCCTGGGTAAGAGTGACCTTTGGTGCGCGGCGTTTTGGGGGCCGCGGGGGGACTAAACACGAGCGCGCAAAACGCTACTACCGCATCGCGTTCGGCGATCGGGGGACCCCGTTGGGCCCGCACCAAAGGTCACTCCGGCGAAAGGTCACTCTTCCGTGTAGCCGAAACAAACGGGTCTTGCGCGAGATGCCATATCGATCTTGCGCCGCAGCTTACGCGGGCCGCCAGCGCGGCACACGGGGTGGAGAAGGAGGGCGCCCGCGCGCGACCTGACGCGGACGGCGTACGCGCGAGTGTCCGCGCAGGGCCCGTGTATGGCCCTTTCGATTCTGAACTCGTTCCTCGATTTCGGCCTCCGGGCCCCGACAGTGGGCCCCAGGGGCCACGAAAGACGGATCCCTAGGGCGAAACGCTACACCTGGGAAGAAAGGTCGGAGCTCAATATGGGCCCCCGGGCCGCGCAGGGGAGACAGAACACCTCCTCGAAGGCTGCCTGGGCCCGTCGCGCCTCGCCCCGACATTTGGCACCTCCCGGAGGCCTCTCGTCGCTACACGTCTCGCGGACTGCGACTCGCGGGCTCCCCAAGAGCAACACAGCATGCAGCCTGGAACCTTCGAGGGCGCTCCGATGCGCGAGATGCATCACGAACATCGCGCAAAGAAGCTGCGCGACGGAGTGCGCTCGACCGTTCGTCCCTAGGAGCCCGCGCGGAAGAACAGGAAAACCCGAAAATCTGGAGAACTATCAATGTCAATACTTCATGCTCCTCTGAGCATCTGCCTCGGGAGGGGGAGGAGGAGGGGGAGGAGGGGGAGGAGGAGGGGGAGGAGGAGGAGGAGAGGAGGAGGAGGAGGGAGGAGGAGGAGGAGGGGAGGAAGGAGGAGGGGGAGGAGAAGGAGGAGGGGGAGGAGGAGGAGGGGGAGGACCCCAATGGACCACGGGAGGGGCCCGGCGGCCCCTGTTCCGCGAATCTCCGGACCCAGCCGGAGGGCCGCCCGCTGCCTCCGCGGGCCCTCCTCCGGGCCTCCACGCGTGCGAGCGGCCGAGCTCTTCTCGGGGCGGGCCCTGCCTCGGGCGCGTTTCGGCGGCGCGGAGGCCGGGGGCGGACACCTCCGGACACCCCACCGGGGCACGCAGGCGCTGGCCCCATCTCGGGATCGGGAAAGCAGATGCAAGAGTCGGCCTGACCCAAGGAGCGACAGATAAGGAACGACAAGCCCCCTTTTTGTCCAGGGGAAGCCAGGGAGGCTCGGCACCAAAAGGTGGCGGAACGCAGGCAAACCAAAGGAACGACCGAGCCCCTTATGAAGAGCAAGTGTTCCTGACCCAAGCCAGATCCTGTGTGCGCAAAAAACTGCGCAACCCAAAATGTTCGGAGCTCTCCTGAGATCCTGGTGTCCCATGTGTTTCGCATCGGGCGATGCCGCCACGTTTCGAGCCCTGGAGCCGTGACGGATCGATCCTGCTCGGAAAATGACGCAGAACGTTGGGGTCTAGGGCCCCGGTCGTGAGTTCTCACGATGCTGCATGTTTGTCCGCAACGTCAACGTCGGATCCCAGGATCCGAGTTTGTATGTTTATGCCGATATTTGGCGGGTTCTGGAAACCCTGAACCAAAAAAACTTGTCATCTCTTGGGGGCGCCTCTTTTCCTTCCGCCAGCTCCCGCCGGTGGAAGCGGCCTCGCTCTGCTTCCGCCGGCCTCAGCTGGCCTTCCGCCGCCTTCCAGGAGACACCAACTCCTAGCTTCCACCACGACGAGGAGCTTTCTCGAACGGCCCGGTTTGACCAAAACACACCCCCAATCCCAAAATCGCGGATTCACCGAGGATTCGAAGATCCGCCAAAGATTTCGGGGTATGTTTTGCGTTCGTCGTCGTCGCCCTGGTAAAACCCAACCCCAAAATCTCCCTCCCCGAGGTCTCGAGGAGCCTGCATTTTGTCTTGGCCCTCGCGTTTTTGGGATTGGGCATCTGTTTTGACTTAGTGACGTTTGTTCCTCGATCCTCGCACAGGGCCGCGGAGCGCTGCGACTGCTCGAGCTCGGCCCGGCACTCCGCCGCCTCGGCGGCGGAGAGGCGCTCGCACTGCTGCCAGCCCTCCGCCCGCCACCCCGCCGCCTCGGAGCGGAACTCCTGCGCCTGCCAGGGGCCGGGGTCGAGCGAGAACGGGGGGGGGAGGAGGAGGAGGAGGAGGAGGAGAAGGAGGAAGAGCAGGAGGAGGAGGAGGAGGAGGAGGAAGAGGAGGAGGAGGAGGAGGAAGAGAGGAGGAAAGGAGAGAGAGGAAGAGAGGAAGAGGAGGAGAGAGGAGAGGAGGAGGAAGAGGAGGAGGAGGAGGAGGGGGCCGCGAACGGGACATTGCGACCCAACTCGCGTGGGCAACAAAAATAAACGAGCCTTCCCACGTCAGCGTCGTCGTCGCCGCCGCCGCCGTCGTCGTCGTCGTCGCCGTCGTCGTCGTTGTCCCCCTCCAGGGTCGGCAGCACCGGCCGCGGGGCCTTCGCAATAAACGGGCCTCACGGAACGACGCACAGCGACCCTGCCCCGCGGCAAACGCGGGCTGGCGCCGCCAGCGTGGCACGCGGCGCGAAGAAGAGGGCTGGGGGGCCACATGCGAACCCTACCCCTACCCCCTACGATTTCTGAGGGGGAGGGTGGGGTTCACTTCGTTCGGGAGCTCTCGAGCGAAGTGAACCCCACCCTCCCCCTCAGAAATCGTGGGGGGTAGGGGTAGGGTTCGCATGTGGCCCCCTAAGGGCGCTTGCACGCGACCTGCGCGGATGCGCATCGTTTATCCGACCCCTGTCTCCAGCGGCGTGGCCTGGGCCCCACTGGCCGATTTGCCCCCCTGGATAGGGGATATAGGCCGTTCCCTTCGGGCTTCGAGGGGTGTGTCCCCAACTGGGGGAGCAACTTGGTGGGGGTCTCGAAGGGGATAGGGATGGGGATGGGGCGGGGGTGGAACACTTCCGCGCGAATGCCTGCGCAGTCGACCCTGTTTTCTTCCGTCGCTCACGCGGGCGATCTCCCAGCGCCTGCTGCGCGACGGAGCCGAAGCCAGCTGCACGCAGCAAATTTCGCACCCTCCCCTTTTCCCCATCCTTCCCTCGCGTCCGCCCCGACAAGATCGGCCGGCACACTGCATCGGCACCGGATCGCATCGGCAGCGCCAGGATACACGACGGCGCCCACGCCGGCACCGAGCCGCACCGCACCGACGGAACATCGCCATCGCATCGGACCGATCGGACCGGGAGGGGCCCCGCCTGCTCGTCCAGCACCGCGCGCACCAGCCCCAGCTTCGCCCGGTCCGCGCGGTGCTGCTGGCCGCGGAGCTCCCTGCCCTGCCGCAGGGCTCGCTGCAGCGCGGACCCCTGCGCGCCCAGGGCCTCCGTCAGCCTGCCGACCTCCGCAGGGAGGGGGGGGAGGAGGGTCGACGGCCCGAATCCGCCCCTGGCGCCCGTAGGGAAGAGGCCGCCACGGTGGGAGGGTGGCGCATCCACGGGGAAGGAGTCCTCCCGCCAGGCCAAGACAGCGACAGGCGAAGGAAAGGGAGAGATTGGGTCTCACACACACACACACACACACACACACACACACGCACGCACGCACGCACGCACGCACGCACGCACGCACGCACGCACACACACACACACACACACACACACACACACGCACGCACACACACACAC